CAATCTTTAGTAAAATAACTGGTCGTTAATTTGCACCATATGGGCCAAAAACACAGTAATGTACTTAGAAACGATTTTACCATGATTTAGATCAATCATGGTATATATGACTGACTGTGTATTCACAATAACTACTACGTGTACATGTAAGGTACTTGATTTTATCATAATAGTCATCATCATCATCCACTGTCTATCCACTCTACGCAAAAGACTAAAAATATAACTAACATGCACGCGATTATCAATCCACTGCACGATGAATGCCTCCCCACACTGTGTCGGTCATGGGCGTCAGTTGACCATGCTTCACCACGCTGGGACGGTTGGGAGGGAGTGGGGCTAAGGCCCATGTGTGCTATTACTGCACTTACAACTGATGGTAGTCATATCCAGAAATCAAACTCTGGTCATGAGCTTCACAGCGTAGTGTGATCACCACTGTGCCACCGCTCCGAAAAAAGTTATTTTAATATAAAGGCAGTGCATCTATGTGTATTGTAGATTTGTATTTATTTTTTAAAATTCCAATTTTAAATCACTCATTATAATACATCTTAAAATGCCTCCTGAGTTATGTCACAAGTTAAATAATGTACACCAAACCTAAAATGTGATGGAATTATAAAGAGTTTTTTGGCATACAAATTTAATTTGTACATGCACCAAAACTCTTAACAGATAAGTACAGGCAATGTGAGAAGCTTACGTCAAGTTTTTGGATCCGAGTAATGTATAACTTATGCAACTTCAGAGAATGCATAAAATGGTGTTCTACGACTCTGTACCAAATAAAATATGTATATTACAAGAAAAAAATACTTAAAACAATCAACATCAAAAAGGCAATCCTTTTATTAAAAGATGTGGGAGTTATGTCAAAAAACATGTTTTCAATGTATTATGTAAATAAATGTGTTATTATTATTGTATTTATTTGCAATATATCAGATTTCCTAAACAGGTCGAGATGGAAGATTTTTGGTTCTCTGTGAATTACCAGCAGGCCACTGGAAACAACAACAATTGGGAATTTTAAAGATGAGGCTGAAAAAAAAATCAGAGAGCACATCATTACTAAAATGCCTAAGGTCAGTTTTCACTGAGCCTCATGACCAAGATTAAACCATAAATTTTGCCCAAGACCTCTCCTAAAAAAGACCTCTCCTAAAAAAATCGATCCCACCGCACCCATCTCTAACTCAACAGTGAACCAGTCAGAATACTCATCCAGCTGAAGTGGTAAACACCACCTAGCTGTCTCTAACCAGTTCAAAAAGACTAGCTTTGCATTGAGCTCTAAAAATCCCCCAGGCTATTTCTTGCCAAGAAGACACTTTAGAACGGTCTTAAATCATTGCCGGTGATCCACCCTCCTATCCCACCCCTTTCCCCCACCACCTCCCGCACCATCCTGGATTTCAATTCAAACACAGTTTATTGGTTTCCGAGAAATGTGGATGTGTGTGCAACAGCTTGGCGTTTTGGAAGGAACAGTGGAGCGAGTTAAAAATGATGTCGCTCAGGTGGCTGAGAGCCTCAGGGGGTCAAGACACAGGGTTGGCAATTCTGAGGTCGTGCAGTGAAGGTGCAGCTCTTTAGAGCAAGCCAAGTACTTGAGTGCAGTGGGTGTGATGACTCCAGCCCAGTCACCAATGACCGTATAAAAACACCCCGCCCTGAAGCGCTCATCTCCCATTCAGGTCTTTATTCAACCAAGCCCACTATTCCTACAGTGAATAACGTAAATAATTACGACCTCTTTGTGGGAAGTCAAAAGTCGTCATGCTCTAGATAGGCTGGTCCCTGCCATTCGAAAATGGAACATCCACCATTTTTTCAGGGCCACAAATGGTGATAGGCACCACCCAAGACTCTTTTCAGCAGAAATATATGTTTTGTCTTATTAGGGCTGTCACTTAAAAAACACGACTAGTGCTTACGAGACTATTACGCAGCAAAAATAGATACTTAACACCTTTGGGGAATTATCAAACATATTGAAAAGTCAGAGTAGCCTATGTCTCAATGTAGAGTTGATCTTTTATTATGATAAATTAAGTAAGAAAACACATGAGACTTTTGCAAAAACTGGGAATAAAATAAACAAATTAAATGATTTTGAATACTTGCTGGCATGTGAACATAGCACGGATGGTTTCTATATTTACAGACATCCCAGTGCAATTTGTGCACTAGAACACACTTCAGTAACTGCACAAGAATATTCCCTGGTGCATAATTTTGGATGAAAAATAAAACGAATTAAACTTAGTGTTGCTCATGTAGAATATTTGCTTACATGGGATCACAAACGTAAGCTGGCTTGGGCAGGATTATGTCGCGAGAAAGAATCATGGCAGATGGTGAAGAATAATTACGGAGTGGCAGCCAAAAAATGGAAAGTGTCTGAGATTACATCCACGGAAGGAGGAGACAGAGTGATGAAATCAGCTCATGTGCAGGTACTATGTGGATTAATATATCACAGAATCATGAGAGACGGCTGCAGCTTCGGGAGGCCATCATTCAGGAGTGGATTGACCTTAATTGATGATTCCACATCATGGGTGTGTCCATACACATTTAGAGTCATCAAAGTAGAAGTTATGGACTAGCGCAGCCAATGCACAATCATATCCTCTTGTGCGTCATTTTGATGCTGGTATAAAAAAAAAACAAGAATTGCACTGCTGTGCGATTCACTCCCAAGTGACAGAAACCCCCCCTTTTGTAAAGATGCATCGAGCGTGTGCGTATGTTTGTACAGGTCTCATTTGCCATGTTGGTACATTTTTCTGACATATTTTTCATTACATAAACAGCTGCCTGGAACACTACCCCAATGCCCTTCAAGGCATAATAAGAAACATCTTTAGGAACACACTCTGAAGGAGCGAACAAATTCAATAATAGCCTAATAATCACCTGGGCACAAACATAGCTCGTGTTTTTTGGTTTAATCCCTCTCTGGAAACACAGCAATGTATACATGACCGGTTTCTTTTCTCATCACAAAACTGCTTCGATCAAAAAGTACTACTATCATACTTTTTTGTAAACCAATTCAGACGTTTAAACCTGAATATACTCAATAATATTAAGCTTATAGATATGGATACAATTATCAAAATAAAAAAATTGTTAAAAAATATTTACCCATAATTGTGTACGCTCATACATTCCACATCCTGCAACTTAAAAGTCACAGCACGTTGCGGATACAACGTGAATTCAAGAGCAGTTCAGTACCAGTAGAAGCCACTAGAAGTGCCAATGGCACTTGTGCTATTAAAAACACCCACTAATGTGTGCTAAATGAGCGACACCAAACATGTCATAATGTCCTACTGGGTCTGCTTGATATTATTTATTGCTCTGTCTGATTTCCAAAGTATTTACGCGAGTTAATACTGCATGAAGACATCCGTTTGGTTAAATGATAGCAGAGTGTTATCACATGGTGCACCACTGCTAAAAGAATGGCAGGGACATGCCACAAGTGTGATGTGACAACACGGAAATGGGCCACCCTGCTTAGAAAATGAAACAGTGCCATCAATAAACCAAAGCACCAAAGTAAAATAACTCTATTATTGGAAAACCAAGCTTACTAATTGTTTCTAGATTTGAATTGTGACCTACAATATTTCTATGGTTAGGTTTGGATTAAAAACATATGCTGAGTTTGCTGTATCTTGGGTTTATTGTCTGTGCTACACGAATGAACAAATGCAATACAATGTGTATTATTTAAAAGCCATTTATATTAAGTGCATTTGATAGCGAATTATTGCATACTACTGCAAAGGGCTCTTAAGTAAACATGCAGTTGATAATTTTATGTTTTAACCCTGCTTTTTTTGGAGCAACCTTTAATGAGGTTCTGCTGCCCTCTGCTGACACAGGCGGCCAGAAGCAACTGAAATGTTGAATTATGTGGTGATACCTGTATAATGTATTGGCAGTGATGGTTTTCCATTATAGAGTTTTTTTTGGGTTAGATCGCGTAAATATATAAATGTGGTCGCGAAAGTCTACGTGTTAAAGTGGTGGTTTTGTTTGCTATACTGTTTTTTTTTAAACTTGCTGCTTTAAATCTTGACTCAAAGCTTTCGTGACTTTAGGAATTCACATTCTTTCGGTGTGTCAAAACATCGCCGCTGGGGAGACAAAGGTGGTCGGGCGTGGTGCTGGCCACCCACCCCCTCGTGTGCCGTGTTGGCCTTCATAGGTGCTCGCTAACAGCACTTGCCCCAACAGTCTGTTCAGGCTATACGGGGGATCTTTGTCTTTGTACAGCTGTGTGGACTGTTCAAATCAAATGGAAATGTTTTGAGATAAAAGTTGAGGCAATGGGATTCCAGTTGGCTTGACGGTACTGCGGTAAGAGTTCAAATCCTGGCCAGGGGGTTGGACTCGGCTCACGATCATTCCACCGAAAGACCCAAATAATATGAATTGCTGCTTTAACTATTGTTCTTGTTTAATATCGCAATCACTTTTCATATTCAATTTTAAACACGTTTTGATAAAAAAAAGTTTCAATGGAAATGTTTCTATATATTGTAGACAAAAAGGTTGTCTTTTCTATGTTATCAGTTTCATTACTTTCATTGATATCTATTCCAATATACAAAGTGGTTTTGGTGTGTGGTTATGCCACCTATGAATGCTGTGCAGAATATGTTGTAGTGATGAGTCTACGAGTAAAATACAGTATTCCATGTAGAATTCATACATTTTCTCTCTGAATATTGTGAAGCTGCTCAAAACTGCGTATCATTGCATAACAATGTCATGCAACATTTAATCACTACAGTTACAGCATTCTCACTTTGCCATGCAATTAAGTTAACCTGTCAGTTATTTAGATATTTCCTTTAAATATTCATCACACATTCCCCCTGTGAGTCAAAGCTCTACACAAAGAGACATTCATAATTCAGCGCTGCAATTTGTGAGTGTTTGACTGCTGACGGCAAGTGCGTTCCGCTAACCTGTGACGACTGCGCGTTGAATCGAAGGAGAGGTGCGGACGCGAGCGTTCGTCCTCTTTCAGCGAACATTTAGAGGTCTCCTCTGGTGCGTCAAGTGCACCCGTGACCCAGTCCGGGGGTTCCCGGCTCGTCACAATGTCCTCCAGGGGTTCGTCAAAGTAGATGGCCTGCAAGGCATGCGACACATTCGTAAGTCCAATGAAAGCAGCGGTCAGCGCAGGATATTATGAATGAATCGGCTTTCCGGAAGCTAATATTCGTTGATCACCTGAAAGTAGATCACATTCACATGCATGCTACGGCAGTGAGCACTAAGCTTTGTAACAAAGTGTTAGCCTATGATTCGTAAAGCGGTAAGGGACTGCCAAAAGTAGTGATGTGAAAGAAGTAAAAGAGTGCGAATAAGTGCACTCAATTCAGTCCTGAAGCTCCCAGTATGTACACCGAATCATCAGAAACCATGCCGAACAACACGCAGTACAACCTAAAAACGCATCGGAAAGCTATAGAGCATAATCGTGAAAGCCTATGCAGGCAGAATGCACCATGTAAGTCGGCAGCGTCTTGAGGGGCCCCGTGTCAGGCCTGTGAGTGAATGGCTCCTCCAGCACACTCCGGCGCAACATGTGCAGCAGCAGACGTGCGTAGTCATTGCGGTTCTTGCGGCTTGAGGTGCCCAGGGCTCCACTGCGTGCTACCGGCGGCTCACAGAGCTTTTTGATCCACAGTGCGCAGCGTTGCCGATCTGTGAACAACGCGCCAGCAACAGTTACATTCTACAACTCACAATCAACGTCTGCAGAATCCTTATCCAGTGTGGAATAAATTATCTCTCCTCCAGTAAATCACTCAATGGTCAAAAATGAGGTCCATGATTCTACCCAAGAATTCATTTTTTAAAATCCCCCATTTTAAAATCCTTTATATTAAGTTCGCTTGCTTGTTTGCTTGCGTGCTTACGACCCTGCAAATCTGTCGGTCGTTTTTTATTTAAATCCTTTATATTAAGTTCGCTTGCTTGCTTGCGCGCTTACGACCGTGCAAATCTTTCGGTCGTTTTTTTACCCACTTCCCGTGATCCAGTCGAGCTGACATTTTGCACACAGACTCGTTGTGCGTGACAATTAATTTTCGTGAAAATTTTTTTCCAAAATTATACACTTTTTAGGAAAAAAAAATTCTATGTAATTACCAATTGCTTAATGGTTGCAAGCAATCATCTGACCCATAGGTGGCAGCCATCTCAAGCCAGAGGACGAGAGGACTCTAGCCGCCACGCATATAAAGGATTTATAGTGAAAAACGTTGTTTTTACGGGTTAATTTTTACCATTATATTTGTATTGATTGTTTGTCATTCATTCAATATCATTTTGGAAATTTAGTTTGCAGCATTGAATTTGCATATGATCTTCATACATTGTAAATAATCTATTCATAAACACATGATTATAAATATTTTTCCCATGTAGCCGAGAATTTGTTACATTTCCACATCACCATTGGGCCTTTGAGAGTTTATAAACCTAACTTATCTTTTATTTCTGCCATAATCAACTCATTTGTCAACAGCATCAATGGCATAAAATCAACTGAAATAAAAGGACTTCATGTGAAGCAGTGGCATTTATGGACTGATTAATTTGAAAATAACATCCTAGGAGCACTTTCCTGAGGTAAAATCTATATTATAAAGATGTAAAATTTCTAAATTTTAGCATAACACAAAGGATTGCTCATTATTGTAAAAGTCTGACTGTGAGTGCTGTTGAGCCACTTTGATGAGCACATTCTAAAACAAGATGAAAAACTCCTTGAATGCTTAAGAATACAGAGCAAAATACGAGTGAAGTTCACGTGAATTTTGAGAAAAGCATACCCAGTGTGACCAAACACATTACAGGATCAGCTAATAAATAAATATAATACCTTATGTCATGCCAATAGCATCTTACACTACAATGTTAAATGTGTATTCGAACACTTACACTGTCTCGCGTCTTAAGTGGTTATAGTCTCTTGAAAAGTGCAGTAAGATGGGTTTTTATAAATCTATATCTATGAGTGTCCTTCTGGAAATGCTTGGTTGTTCATTCATTGGCGTATATTGACCCTCTTGAAAAACTCTACCAGGATACGTAACATATTTCATAGCAGCGTTTTGCTCTGTAGCGTGTTATTCAAAAACAAAAGAATGAGGGAAACTCTCAATCCACACTGAACACTCACGACTTCCCACAACAGTGGTACCTATTGTATACACCCCAAAGCAATAATACGACTGCACCAACCGAGATATGAACTTGCAGTATTCTGATTGCATGGCAAGCAGCAGCGCCACGGTGACGAGATGTCAACTACCTCGCCCGGTCGTGGGTTCCATCCCAACCCCGACCTTGACGCATGTATATTATTGTTTGCATGTTCTCCAGGTGATCACGTGGATTTTTCTCCGGGTCCTCCGGTTTCCCCCTCCACCTTTAGAAACATGCCTTTCGATTGTTTGGCTGCTAGAAATGTCCACGTGATAAGCCACTTGGTTGAGCTATCATTTGTGGCTCGGTCGCTTCTGAAAAAGAGCTGTATAGGCTGAGTGGGCCTGACCAGGCAAAATAAATAACAGTACTGAAACTACAACACAACTTGCCGTAAATGTTTATAATTTCATGGAGCAAATAAGACACCCCCCCGCGAGATTGGGTGCACCATATTTTTTGGTTCCTTCGGTAAAGCCACGTAGGTAGAACAATAAAGATTGGGTGCACAATGGTCATTACCAGACTTGTGTGGAAGCTTGAGTACAAAGGGCTTCATATCAACAAGAAAATGATCGAAGTCTCCATCCAGTTTCTCACAGGCATCCTCGTGGCTCTCCATCTGCACACACGTCGCATCGAGAAAGCACATTCAGAATGTTATATTATATAGAGAGTAAAAACTGTCACGCAACTTTGGCAATATTCATCTTCTTGGTTCTTTCGGTAAAGTCACGTAAATAATAAAAATAAAACATAATAAATAAAAAATGTTATTATGTTTTATTTTTATTATTTTATTATTTTCCTCCTACGTGACTTTACCGAAAGAACCAAGAAGATGAATCCCTGCAGTCACGAAAGCTTTAAATCGAAATTTGGCAATATTGTACTGTACTGGCAACATGCACATCTGAAAGTAGATTGCATGCTTCCAGATGGTCTCATGATGAAGCTGCTGTGACTACAAAACAACAATTATCATTTAAAACTCCATCGATCAAAACTGCATTTTCCAAAGTCTTAACATTTTACTTTGCGGGGATGGGTTACACATCCAGTGTTCGTGATCCTTGTAGACCTGAGCAGGTATACTGGAGAGAGAGAGGCACGCATCAACACAATCGAGTACTCGGCGAGAGATGAAATAAAATGTCGATTTGAAGTTTTCGTGACTGCAGGGATCCATACTCTTTGGTTCTTTCGGTAAAGTCACGTAGGTATAAAATAAAATTAAAATAAATTAAATCACGACGTTTCGATTGCAACACAAGCAGCAATCATCATTACCACGGCAACTCTCTCTCCCACTTCAGCAAACAAAAATGTATTGCTGTGGTTTTCCCACCTGATGATGATTGCTTGTGTTGCAATCGAAACGTCGTGATTTAATTTATGATCATATTATATTTTATACCTACGTGACTTTTACAGAAAGAACCGAAGAGTATGAAAAAATATGTGTTCCCTTTACCAGCCCGTCTTCACCAGTGTGCAGTACAGTATTGTATGTTTAAACAAAATCCTCCTAAATGACCGACTCACCTGAATTGTGAAAACATAATACCGCTCTCTTAAAACATATACTAATTGTATGGTGCCATTAAGACGTGACATGTGCCAGCGTTGTATTTATTGTGCAACAATATTGTTTCACTAAACCGCTCTCTCGAAAGTAAATGTATTCATCTTCTTGGTTCCTTCGGTAAAGTCACGTAGAAGGGAAGTAATAAAATAATAAAAATAAAACATAATAAAATAATTCTCACGACGTTTCGGCCACAACGCCTTCTCGACAGACCTGCTCTCCACCTGAAGACGGCTGCTTGCGTTGTGGCCGAAACGTCGTGAGAATTATTTTATTATGTTTTATTTTTATTATTTTATTACTTCCCTTCTACGTGACTTTACCGAAAGAATCCCTGCAGTCACGAAAGCTTTAAATCGAAAAGTAAATGTATTGTTTTATTTTACTGACCTGGAAGGGGGTGACGGTGGTGGTGTTGGGTGCGGCTTCGTAGATGAATCGACCGTGGCGGGGATTCGAAAACTCACGCCCTTGTACTCGTGAATCCGTGCTGCTCAACCGATGCGAAGTTATCTTTAATCAACACTGAAGAGGCCAGAGGATATACGATCATCGAGTAATAAGGGACAATATAATAACGTGTTGACTTACGAGTGGGCGACAAACACAATGGGCATATCCCCGAGGGTAAACAACAGGTGTGGCTTCGAAGTTACGTCACTTATCGTCTCGATATTTATTTTTTCAAAATCCCGGTTGCTAAGCGCAGGCCGCAAAGGTCCAACACGCCAAGCGGCCAGCAATGAACAGCACCTAATTCGAGATTTGAAGTTTTCGTGACTGCAATGATTCATACTCTTTGTTTTTTTCGGTAAAATTTATATAAATTAAATCACGACGTTTCGGAGGAAAACACAAGCTTCCGTGTTGCCTCCGAAACGTCGTGATTTAAATTCTTGGGTTTTTTCGGTAAAGTCACGTAGGTAAAAAAATAAAATTAATAAAAGTAAATTATTTTTACCTACGTGACTTTACCGAAAAAGAACCTAAGAATATGGATCCTTGCAGTCACGAAAGCTTACAATCTAGAAGTCATGATTTAATTTATTTAAATTTATTTACATTTTTTACCTACGTGACTTTACCGAGAAAACCGAATAGAATGAACAGCACCATTCGAGGTTTTAATAAGAGTTCCTGAAATCCATCTCTTGAATTGGGCACCGTACTGTATAATATATAAAATATATACTTTTGAGTGTTTAGTTTGTTGTCCTCACGCGCCTCCGATTAGTACGTTTGGCTACGTACGGTGCGAAAGAAGTTCCACATACAGTACATAATAAATGGGGGATATATAACATTAGAGGAAATTCCCAAGCCAAGCTGTGTGAGGGCAACACAGTAAATTTTGATATAAAGCTTTCGTGACTGCAGGATTCATATTCTTGGTTGTAAAATATTGTTTAATATTTATATTATTTTATTATTTCCCTTCTACGTGACTTTACCGAAAGAACCAATAATATGGTAACACAGTAGTTTCATGATCAGACTGTAGTGTAACAATAACGGCGTTATTCGATGTTGCGCCGTTTAACTTAAAGAGTTAAAACGCCACAGGGCCTAGGCCACAGCGGCGTGCAACTCAACTCCGCCGCTAAAATCACATCACATCACTTCGCAACGTTCAATAAAACAACACACCACAACGTTAGTATTCAGGACATGAGTGCAGCCGTAACTTCACTCACCGCATATATACGCTGGAGTATCTTTGTAACAAAACAAACAAAACTAACTTACAATGTTTACAAATCAACTACCAACACAAAACAACCCACGCGCTTAATTTCCGTCAAATCCGTCATTCAAACTTCCTTGCTTTTCCCGGCATGCCTAGCGCGGCCAGGCAGCTGCTGATTGGGTACAAGCGGAGGGAGGGGGGGGCGTGTGAAGCCGTTGCCATGGAGACGCGGCACGCCGTTGCCGCGGTAACAGGTCGCCAAGGGTCCTCCATGTGGAGGGGGGAGGATGGGGGGGTTGCTATGGTAACGGGGTCGCGACCCCCCCCCCCGCCCACCTTGCCCCCACCTACTTGGGCGACCACGCGAACCTTTAAGAGGGATCACGTGGCTCCAGGCAGACGCCTCGGTCTCTGTGGCGCAATCGGTTAGCGCGTTCGGCTGTTAACCGAAAGGTTGGTGGTTCGAGCCCACCCAGGGACGCGAGTTTATTTTGTTAAACATTTTTCACTGCAGTAATTAAACAACAAGGCGGTAATTAGTAGGTAAACGTATCTCTTGGTTTTAGGCTATATTTGCAATGACCTTACTATTGATGATTGTGTTGTGCAGATGTATATACGCGTTCTCTGGTATGTGTAGCGCCGCCTATGGAGACTTGTTGACACTGACACAATAACGGGCAGCAACTGAAACACAATTTTGATTACAATTAAAATACACAAGGTAAAAACAATTCAGAGTAAACGATTAAGACTGAGCGACGTAATATTAAAACACGCAACGGACGGAGTTCAATTATCCCAAAGAATAGTGCAACATAAATAAGCCGACAATATCCCTCTCTCCAGGTAAAAAAATATATTAAAATATTTATTACACAATCCATCAGCGCCACGGCCGTCTGGGAGGGCATAATTTCAGCAACATTGATTTAAGATAAGAAAACTCTGGAGCAAAGCAAATGCGATGGATTGCAGGCAATATTACGATAATAAATTACAGAATGTTCAATGCCCTCTCCTTGACCTTACCAGATTTCTCTCTGTGATATGTTGCTTAAAATTCAGTGACATTCACCCTTAGTTTCCAGTAATTTATATTGAAAACTAAAGTATGTATCACCATTGGAACCTCCTTTGCCAGTAGCAAAATATGATAATTGTTTTTTTACCCTTTTATCTGGCAACAAAACTGACACCTTTTACAATGGTGTAAATGCTTACCCCGAGCTCTCATACTCTGATGGTGCAATGTCTTTGAGTTGTGCGCCTTTTGGCGTCATCTGGTCCAACACCATGTGAGACTAGGCTCAAAGAAAAGCTGTCTCGGGTGTGGACCAATCAATTTCAAGGACAGTGCATACATTATCAGAGTTGTGGTTTTTGTTTGCATTCCGACCGCAGGTATTGTGGTCAATGCAAACATGACTTCTTGTAAAAAAAGTGTCAGTTTTGTTGCCAGATAAAAGGGTAAAAAAACAATTTTTGTCGCACTGTCCATAATCAACTGTGTTAATCGCAGGTGCATGAGGACAACAAAGGCGTGATGCCACTAAGCATACCGTTGTTGCTTAGTTGCATAAAATTATACAACGAAAAAAAGTTCACCTTGAAAATGTAAAAAGCTCCTAGTAGATATAAAATATAACTACAAACACTCGTGTATTTACAATGTATACTCTTATTCCAAGGACTGTAGTTACACGTACATTTAACTCCTGGAATTACACGCAAACATACATTTATCTTGGCATACCACGCTGGTACGAGTCACGATGGCCATTTCTGGCAGTGTAAATTACGACGCATTTATATTTGCACAATCTCACCCAAAAATAAAACTTTATTATGAACACCTCAATCCAGCAAGAGGGATTGCAATGCCACTGTTGGCTGGTCCACCGATGCCCTCCCTACTCGCTGCTCAGGACCCGCTCCCTATAGAGGACCGGGTTCCACAGAACTAAATGGGGAATGGAGACACCCTCTAAAAACACTGGTCTACAGCCAAAATGCTTCCGAAATAAATGTAGTCCAACTTTACTAATTCTGGGCCACTGAGACTGAAAATGATGCTTACAATTGTTTATTGGCTCTAGTTTTCAAGATATGCTACTGCGTCGGTATATACTCAAGTTCAAGTTCATTTATTAGGTATAGCCCTGTGTGCCATTCGGCCCTTCACTTGGGATTGGCGGAGGATAAGTGAATTGTAAAGGGAAGGGATCTAAATTTAAACCAGAAGTGACTAAAATACATCTTTGACTGGATCTTTGAATAAATCTATGACTGGGTTTGGACAGTACTTGCTTTTTGAGCAAAACAAAGAATGATGCAATCTGAACCTGGTATTGCATCATACACCATATGAATTGCATCATGTTATTCCTAGAAGTCATGATGATGCAATCATAACTCGGCTTATATCCCTCTGCTGAACAAATTGCCCTATATCAGCTCTAGAAATCATACAGTGTTGTGCTCTCTTATTCTGTTTAGCAGCTTTCCGCCTCTAGCCACGGACCAAGATATAGGATGGGTCCATCTCACACCATCCCCTGATCAACACCACCAGGAGAAAGTCTGGCAGTAACAAAGACAAAGACCCCTCATATAGCCTTTACAGACTGTTCGGGCAAGTGCTGTAACCGAGCACCTATGAAGGCTGGCACGGTACACGAGGGGGTGTGTGGCCAGCACCACGCCCGATTGTCTTTGTCTCCCCAGTGGGGATGTCATTTGAGGCTGAGTCGACCTCGAGGGATGCCCAGGACCGGTTCAGATACTCGTCACTGGTGTTGGTCGTGAGCGGGAATCAACCTCGAGTAACCAGGTTCGTAGCGCAGCGCACTAACCGCAACACAACAACCATTCACTACGGTGAAATCCCCATAACGCTTCTGCACTTTGAAACCACTTCAAGTGTTAAGAGCTCGCTGACAGGTCAGGTGATATGACCAACAGATAGATGCACTACACAGTACCTGTGTCCCCACTGTGCCAACTTGCTGCGTTTAATCCAACCGGAACTCCGCTCATACAAGAAAGATAAAATCAAGAATCGTTTAAATCATGCATTGTCAAAATGTATCCTCCATTTGTGAAAATGCAAGCCAGAAATTCACCCGTATCTCACGTGCATTTCATAACGAAAGTGGTTTTTTTTTCAGAAAGGCGTATTTAATAGACGGTTATTTCGAGTTCCAAAATAACTCTGAAGTTTAAATAAAATCGTTGCACATGCATGTAGAAAAAGTATGCTTGTCCGCACAGTATATTTTATCCATATGCAAATAAGCCAAATCCAGCATATGCAATTTAGATACCACTCATTGTATACGGTATATTTATAGTTTCAAATTGATTCAATATTGATGCGTTTACAATAAAATCCGCTGTTAAAATTGTTTTTTTACTGCTGAACAGCAGGTGGTGTCAGTTGAATTTAATTTCGTGCACATCCGTTGCGATTATATTTTATACTGGTTATTATATAGCACGCCTGTACTACATCTGTTTTGCTATTGGTAAATAATTATCTAGATTGCTGATAACCACCATTAAGTTCATAACTAAAATTTGTAAAGTTCTGCTATTTTTGATTTCCAAAGCTTCATATCGCATGGAATGATTTTAATTCCATAAAATGCAGTTGGTTCTACTGAATTTAGCTAGCGTTCACAGTTGACCTAATAAATTTACTTTGGTTACCCTAAGATTCTGGGTATGTATTGACTTACGTTGCCTTTTGTCATTAACATGAGCACAGAGAAAGACCCAATCAGAGCCATTGGCTCCCCATCTATAAAAGTACGCGTTACAAGGGACAAGCATTTAAGTCGGACGTTACGTTCAAACTTGAAATCTGGGAACATAATTAATAGGTACGTCTTGCAATGAAAAACGAAACTAAAATATAAAATGTCTTCCGTTAATTATGTAATTGTATTTACATCTGTTGCGTGGCTTTTTTGTATTTTAACATATATTGCCGACCAAGGAATGGTGCCGAAACAGTAATTTATCTTGAATATATAATCTCAGCATATCTATCAAGGTAGCTCCATTTCAAGAGGAAAGTGCACATATTTGAAACGTATTTCTACCTGCACTTGCAGTCTTATTACCACCTCAATTTACACACCGCGTTTAACTTAATAAAAATAACAATCTCCAAGCATGGTAAATTACAACCTGAGCAGGTGTTATATCAACGAGCTATTCTCGCAATATACGGTGCCACTGCTGCTCATGGAGACCGTTGTGGGTTTCCTGGGGAATGCGTTCGCCTTGTGGATTATCGCTTGGCGCATCAAGGATTGGACCTGCTTCACGATCTACATGCTCAATCTGGTGCTCAGCGACCTCCTGTTCGTGCTCGTCGCACCCGTGCGCTCCATCTACTACATGTACGACAACCAGTGGCCCTTCGGCGAGGCGGCGTGCGACATGCTCATCACCGTCACCTACATCAGCCTCTACGGCAGCATCTTCTTCCTGACGTGCATCAGTGCCGAGCGCTACTTCGTGATCGTTCACCCGACGAGAGCGTTCCGCAACCGCTCGCTCACCTCCGCCAAGCTGGTGAGCCTGGCCGGCTGGGTCACGGTGCTGGGTGGACAGCTCAGTCTGCCGTTCATCTTCCACACGACCGCCGACGCACTGGACGCCAATGCGACGCGCTGCATGACCTTCAACTTAGATGACCTCTACCCGAGCTACAACACGTGGAGCTCCGTGGTCACCATCGCATTCTTCTTAGTGCCCTTCACGGTCATGAGCGTCTTCCACGGGCTCATCACGCACAATCTGCTCTACCAGGCGGCGCTCGGCGTGCGTGTGGCCAGGGCTCGGCGCAGAGCGGCCAGGCTGGTGGTGCTGGTGCAGCTGATAGTGGCCATCTGCTTCACGCCTCTGCACGTGGTGAGGCCCCTGATGACCGCCAGCAGCATGCTGACACCGACCAAATGCGACCTGCTGCAGGACCTCGCTAAAGGCTTCTTCATCAGCATGTCCATGAGCGGACTCAACAGCTGTCTCGACCCGCTGCTATTCTACCACTCGAGCGGCAAGTTCAGGAAGGAGGCGAAGGCTGTGGTCATGACCCTGCTCTGTCGAGGATGTGTGTGCCCGGCTGGACCGAGGACGAGGAGCGAAATGCAAGCGTCTGTCATCGATGTTGAGCCGTCGCTCAACTCCAATCGTACTTGAGCAATTTGACGTGCACGTGTCTCGTCAACATCAAGGTGTTTTGCTTCAAAACTTAGCATCTAGGCGGTGCTCATCTCCTGTTTACAGCCCTGCTTTCAGGGGTGGACAACAAATGTTAATTTCGCCTATACGAGATACTTATTTTACCGGCTCCGAAGGGACGATGGGATGAGTCAAACCAAGGTTTTCCACGCGCTTACTTTGCGTCCTCCTCCATATGGCTTTGATAGTCATGGACACCATCGAGGGAAGCTGAATGTATGTCTGCTGTACCAGACTGTAAGTCTGCATGCGAAGCCTCGGGTATTATTCACCGCTAAGCCGCATGTCAAGCACGAGGATAAGGGAACAATGGGACATTTCTGGGCATTGTTGAGGAAAGTCTATGGGTTTACTGGGGGATTGATTGGGCAGGACACATCTACAGAAGGAATGGTGGCTGAAGGACAATACAGTAAGTCTACACTATAAGTGATAAACATGAGAGACCCAGTCGTAAGTCACTTGCAATCAATTATATCATCCATGTTGGCATCATGACAGCCACAGTGGAGATCGATGAAATAAGCTTGAGTGCAGATCTTGGGTGGATTGTTACATCGCTGGATCATGGTAGACCTTCATTCATCCAGCATGCTAAGAGACGATTCCGTATATGCATTACAGCATTGTGACACAGAAGTAAGTGGGTTAGTAAGAAGTGGAGTGAATTGGTCATATGAGGCCAGTATAAACCATGGCACGGGTAAAGAGCCACATTGACTACCATTCTAAGAGCCACGGGTCACAACCTGTATTACACACTGGTACTTTACAGAGAATGTGCCTATTATTACAGTATAACGATCTATTTCATTTGGCAGATTCATCACTGACTGGCGAGCATGAATATAAAATGTATGAGGCTATGACAATGGTGGCAAGTACAGAAGTTGCTTTAAATCGCCATGTTTTTGTATATAATGTGCATTTCACTATATATACAAATTATACAAATGTGTCTCTTTTAGCTTGCTCGACTGTGGACTGAATGTGTATGTATGGTTTAGGTTTCCAATGTAATCGAGGATTAACTCTGGACTATGCATCGATTCACTGGTATCTCCTTGGCCATCTCGCAAGGTGTAGACTTCTCTACGCTGTTCTTACGCTCCTGTACACCCCGTTTCAACAAGAGGCAGCCAGTGTGGAGACATCACTAAATCCCGAACGGGCTTTTGCAAATTGACGGTGCAAGCATACCCCACTCCAACTCTGCATGTAGTGCCCACTCATTATTCACTGCCAATTGACGGTTGAACACGTGAATTACGGAACAACATTCACGGACATGCAGTATTCATTCAAGGTTATTATTATGCTTGTTACCCGGGAAATCCTCACTTAGTCTCGTGGCTATCAGGAGGGTCCTGCCAAGTTTTTCGCACGAGAAGGCGATAATTTCTATGTATATTCCATTTGAGTCAATTATAAGTAATTTTTCAAATTTGGCAGATGTGGACAGTCTCAGTAAATATACAAGGTTGGGTCAACATTGGCACGTGGTTGAAACTGTTGGACCAACTTCTTGGCCCAACGTTCCATGTTTACTGGGATAATACCTGCACGCAATCGCATTGTCTTTAACGTCAACTGTGACGCAGGTGGCACGTGTTTTCTGCTTAGCGCACCTGCATTATTAACCAGGGCAGCCGCTGGATTTCAACCGTGAACCTCTGGTAGCTTAAGCGAACCGGCTACCGCTAGGCCACTTCACTGCTAGGTCATGGCTTATAAAAAAAAGTGGTTGAGTTATTGGTGGTGGGAAAGACACATTTACAAAAAGAATGATAACCGATGGATCATACATATTGTAATATAAACATACTATGTGGTTCTTTCGGTAAAGTCATGTTGGTAGAAAAATAAAATAAAACAGTGTAACAGTTCCACTGCTGGATTATTTTTCTTACCGCCCGAGGACGACCGCCTGCGTTGCGATCGAAACGTCGCGATATATTATTTTTTGTTTTATTTTATTTTTCTACCTACGTGACTTTACCGAAAGAACCAAAGAGTGTGGATTCCTGCAGTCACGAAAGCTTCAAATTAATATAAACATATTAAATCCATACACGTTAAATTAATACATATGCATAGTAGACATTCAGTTAATATTAATTTAACATGGAGATCTGAGGCTCAGTAAAACAAAGTGGCTCTCCGTTGGGTTTTTGGGTTGTATTGTGTGTTGGAACTGAGAAAACTCCCATTACATGGGACGAAACGTCAGACATTGTGCTGAACAACATGCGGTGCAACTCAAAAACACATTCAAGAGCTACATAGCACCACAAATTGTTAAAACATATGCAGTGGTAAGACATGCACATGATGGATTTAGCAATATGTGGCATCACCTACAACTGGTGTCCAAAAAAAAGACCCGCGTTGACTTGCTTAGAGCCGTGGGCCACAAACATGTATGACCGAATACTCATACTGTGCACATATTTATAATGTATCATGTTACCAGCAACAGATATAAAATTAAATCTTGAGAAAGGCTAGCGATATATGAGAAAAATCAATATATGTAATGAGATGTATAAACTCATTATTAACTGAAAATGTCTTAAATTATGCACATCCATGTTTGCAGATTGCATAGTTAATTATAATTTTTTTTAAAAATACATTGACGTCAGATTTGAGAAAATAATTGTGAGATGTCAGAGAAAATAGTCGATCATTTAGGGATGGTCAAAAAACATTGATACATCGGTAACAGATGGTTCAGATATTTCAATTATTTGCACATTGATATTGATCCCTCTGATACGATCGAAACATCGTTGTTTTCATCTTCTTGGTTCTTTCGGTAAAGTCACGTAGAAGGGAAGTAATAAAATAATAAAAATAAAACATAATAAAACAATTCTCACGACGTTTCGGCTACAACGCAAGCAGCCGTCTTCACCTGAAGACTTTACCGAAAAAACCAAGAAGATGAATCCCTGCAGTCACGAAAGCTTTAAATCGAAATCGTTGTTTTCCTTTCAATGTTTTGCTGTTTTTAATATCAATAAAAAAGCATTATTAAAATAAATATTTGTTGAAAATAATTAACTTCCCGCTCCAAATGTCTGTGACAGGTTTATATCCTGGAGATAGGTTTCAAGTCAATATTCTGTTTATTTTTTAAAGATATTAATAATTTGTTTTACTTAATAGTAAACATTTGTTTGGGATATGTATAGTTCGTCCCTCTAAATAGTTAATAAAAAAAAACACATGTCGTTCAAATATTTTAGTATACATCCATGATTTCATTAAAGCAATGATTGTTCAATGTTTATTTAATGTTCTATCCCTACATAAGAAAGAGATTACGTCAGATATGCTAATAATTGTGAAATAGCCAGTATATGCAATCCATCATTTTTAAATGGAAAGCATTTCCATATTTTGAGTGTGTTTTGAACCATGTCTCATTGTATAATGCTGTCAATTTTACCATCACGTGTTTCATCAGAACATAATTTTGCAAGGCTTCAGCTATGCATATTTAACTGTTGATTTTTAATAAAGTATAATATAAAAGGGCAATCTTTCGTGTGGTATGAAAAAGGGTCATTGCCCGAAGCTTCACCTGTTATGGTATTCATGTTAAGGCCAGTGTTAATGACCAATGTTGAAGTTCATATATATCGAAGGGACAATATGCACGTGGTCTACAACTCGTACAAAAATTTGTTTTAATATAAACACGCATTTATATGAATCAATTTACTTTTATAATTCCAAGTAAGCGAACAGCAACACCAGCAATGCGCGGAAGTAAATTATATACACGTTGAACTTGAACGCAAACAAATGAAAAGTGTATTGATTAGTATTCTTGGTTCTTTCGGTAGTTACGTAGAAGGGAAATAATAAATATAAAACAAAAATTATCACGTTTCGACTGCAACACAAGCAATCATCATCAGGTGTGAAATCCACAGCAAGAATTTTTTTTCAAATTTTCTTGCTGTGGATTTCACACCTGATGATGATTGCTTGTGTTGCAGTCGAAACATCGTGATAATTTTTTATTGTTTAATATTTTTATTCTTTTATTATTTCCCTTCTACGTAACTTTACTGAAAGAACCAAGAATATGAATCCCTGCAGTCACGAAATCTTTAAATAAATTTTTTTTTATTAATTAGATTTGTTTTTTTATGTTCTTATCACCATAAGGGGTTGGGGAACAGATAGTGAACGAAACCCATACACGTTCCAGCACACAACAGCGCGTGGCCACAACCCAAGAATCCCAAACACGAAGTCACGTGACCCACAAGCGCGCGCGCGCGGGGCGGGGCGGGTGGGGGGGGGCGCCAGAAAGGAAATTACATTTCCCACCCAGCATAGGAGCCACCGGGCAATTTCACGCCTCGCGATTGGACGCCGCCTCTCTCTAGCCCCGCCCCCACCCCAACATCCGCGTTACAATTGGCCAGCCTGAGCGCGCGCTCAAAGCCCCCCTCCCCCCACCTCTTTTACGACGACCAATCGCGTGCGTGCGTGTCGACCGCGCTATCCTTATGCGCTGTAGAGATTGCAAGAGGGTCGTGGTGTGTGGAAGTGGTGGTGGTGGTGTTGGCCCCACGGCCTGCTGGTTGCTGCCGGGCCCCGCTTCTCGACTTGCGTGAGGGTTTGCCGCGGTTTTTTTTCTCTCTCTTCTTCTCTTCATTTGCTTCGCTTGATCTCATTAGTTGGCGGCGGTGGTGATGAATGCGACCGACCGACGATGTGTGATTGTCGAACGCGTTTTTGTAAGTAGGGCACGCGGGCAGATTGGAGCGAAGCGAGTTTTATGTGGCGATACGGTTTGGCTAGTCTAGTGTGAGGCCCCAATTGCCGCCCTGAGGTGAAATTCGCAATTATACGATGAATAAAGTGCGGCGCCACTTAACCTTTTGTGTGTATTGCGATGTAGAAAGTATCGCCGATTTAAAAGTCTTATTTTTGAGCTACCCATGGACAACAACTTCACTCGTGTGGAGCGGTGTTGGTGGCATTGTCTCATTCGGCCCACGTGTATGGTGAAAGAGGGTTTATTGTTGGCTCATTTCTTCGATTTCCATAACGTTTCTTGGTGTTAGACGGAACTACTCTTCAATAATGTGCGTTGAACGCTATACAGTATTTATAGAAAATGTGGGCCATGGCCTAATTTTTATGAAAGTAAAATTAGCCCCTATTGGTGAAGACTTGTCTTTGAATTACGAACCTTTATTCAAGAAAGCTTAACCGAGTTTTTGTAAGTTCCTGCATTGGCATGTTTGGTCAATTCCATGCATGTGGCAGGAAGCTTAAGGACGTGGAGAAATATCACGCGCACAAAAGAATAACATTGAAAGGTCCCACAGTGGGGTTCATGAACTCACTTGACATATTGCCATCTCCTTGACCATCGCACAACGCAGAAGTTACATAATAGTCTAGTTTTAAAGTTATGTATCGTGTATATTCATTCGCAGAATGTGTTATTGGGTGGTGACAAGTTGGAATTTGCACATTGGCACGCACGGTTGTGAGATTTCTTTAGACGCTAGAAAAAGACATCTGCTTTTAAGGAGGCTGGCTACACTGCTCTCAGTAAATTATATCTTGCTGGGATTCATAGAGTAGCCAGCAAGGTTGATTAATATTTGGTTTAGATTTATGCAGTATCTCGCACATGACTCGAAATTCACAGCACGTCAGTTCTAATTTCCAGTAAGATATTGAAACCTGTACCGGTTTTAGGCGTCCTGAACCCTTCACAAATCCACACTCACTAATGTGGTGAGCTATGGTCATAAAACCCAAACGACATGGCAAAAAAAGGGCCTCATCCAACAGTAGATTGAGAAAGGGCTACACGTTAAGTAATTTAAAGTTTAGACTCATTTCCAAATTTACCTCTGATCAGTACCCAAAATGTTTAATGCTGGTCTATGTCAATGTCATTGTGGGTTCCTTCTCATCTTTCAATACATTCAGCCAGTTGAACAACATTAATTGTGGTCTGCACTGTGTTTAGGATGCACCTGCTCAAGTTTTAAAGAAAAACGTTTTTGTAGCTGCTCTCAAAGTCAACCATGGCGGCCGCAGCAGTGGCGGCGGCAGTGTCGAGCATCAACCCGCGGCAGGACTTCCCCGCGTGGCTGGCCGCTCACGGCGTGAGCCTCAGTGTGGCCGAGGCCGTGGACAGGGAGCTGGGCATCGGCGACTACGAGGCGTTCCTGGCGTGCGCCGAGCAGCCCCACGTCAGGGCTGAGCTGTTCGCTGCTGCCAGGGAAAGGCTGCCCTTCGCCTTCTACGCTGTGCTGCGCCGCGTCACTGAGGCCTCGTCTCCCAAGCGCCACGACGGAGCAGGGGTAGCTGGAGGAGTACTCCAGGCCACTGCGGCAGCCACTGCTTTCCAACCGTTCCTCAGCGGCCTCCTGGACGCCATCGTTCTCATGCTCAACAGTCTGAGCCAGGAGCTGCTGCAGTCGGCCGAGAGGTTCAGCTGCCTGGAGCCTGCACTCTACCCTAATGCTGTGGAAGAAGGCCTGAGCCCGTATTTACAAGAAGACGGTATTGTTAATCACAAAACAGCCAAAGAAATGCAACTTTGCTGTGGCTATTGTCTGGCTGATTGGTGCTGAGGTCAAAGTGCTCAACTCACAATTCAAAGGGTCATAAGTTCAAATTCCGATTGGGGGTTGACTCAACCCATCTCCCCTGTGAGGTTGATTAAATTAGTGTCACTGTGAAAGACAATTGTCCTGTAGCAAGACTTGTCCCATCAATATGATTGTGAAATTATATCTTCTCAGGGTTGCCAGAGGAGATGAGCACCACATTATGCTTGTTTGAGCATAGAGAGACGGTTTGAAATGGCTGTGTCATTTAGTTTTTGTTTAAAATAAAATTACCAAACACCTAAATCTTGACTTAAAGCTTTCGTGACTGCAGGAATTCATATTCTTTGGGTTTTTCAGTAAAGTAACGTAGATCGGTTCAAAGAAAATAACAAACGTTCGTCATCAGGATGACGAATGCTTGTGTTGCGATCGAAACGTCGTAGTTTTTTTGGTTACTTTCTTTGAACCTATCTACGTGACTTTACCGAAAGAACCAAAGAGCATGGATCCTTGCAGTCACGAAAACTTCAAATCTAGAATTTAACGAAAGACCCAAAGAATACCAAACACCTTTTTTATTCGTTCACAGATATCAAGGATCTACAGCTTCACAACTGAAAATGTACAACTTATTAATAGTTCAAAAGTCACCCCAGTTCACTACTCAGTAGTTGGTCAATATGTGTATATTGGTGTATGCTTATTATGGTTTCATTAAATATGTGTACATTCATGCTATCAAACACGATATGAAGACAAGGACTGAATAATGTTATATCTTGTGGTTTTACTTTTCATACTTTACAGAATGCTCAATGTATTATTAATGTAGGTGAGTGCATTTCTGTATTGTTGGAAGATTAATGAAACGCCTCAATAAGTCATCTTTGTTTTGCTTTAAATTGCGTTTTTAGATGGAGGAGAAGTCTATGAGACTGATGCCCCTGCAGTGCCTGATGGACCCCCTGAGGATGCACAAGACAACCAATCCCAGTCTTGGGAAGATGGTAAACTTCAGTGACGTCATGCCACGACATTTTGACTTCCATGAATCGGTATCACTGTATCTTGTGTGCCTGTGCATGTATGTACATATATGCATGCGTTTACAAGCTAGTACAAAATAAATACATGAATAAGTCTGTAGTTTGATACGAGATCTTATTAGTGTGAAATATAGAAATGTTCTGCATACTTTATGTATTACATTGTGATCAAATTGCCGAGCTGTATTCATCATTGAGCTGCTTTTTAATGTTTTCTAGTCCAAAACCGTTATCGTCTAATGAAACCATCTCATTTGAGTTGGGCTTCAGTTATGAGAGCATGTGCACTGCTGTGTCTAGGGGGCAAGTCAGAATCTGAAGCAGTCCAGCAGGCCACTGATCTGGAGGACATGGAAGGGACAGAACAGCAGGAATGGAGTGGTTACAACGTCAAAATGGAGCATTACGACAACGCTCAAGCTCGAGGTATATTTACAGTTATCCTTTTGATGTTGTAGTGTTTTCACCTTCTAATGATGGTGCAGGCTAACGGATAACCTGCTGCCCAGGTGATGTTGGGAGCTTCCCAGAAGATTCACATGGTTTACAAGAAGTGGTAGAAACAGCTGATGGTGACTACCGTGTGAAGGATGTGAAGCTAGAAACTGGGCAAGCTTCAGCAGGTAAATTGATTTTTATTATGGCTCAGTGTAACTCAATTGACATCTGCAGGCT